GGGGTTGAGCCTGGTTGAGGGGTAGGTCCGGGCTTTTTGGTGGGCAGTGACACTGGAGCGGGTGTTGGGTCGGGACCCGGTTGCGGAGTTGAACCAGGTGCTGGCTTTTTAGTTACGTGGTGTTCAACAATTATTGGGTCCGGGTTTCCATCAACTGTTCATTCATTTAATGAATTAAATGTTTATAAATTAGTTTATGAAATGAATATCAATACTAACTTCCGTTCAATAGTTTGCTAATAGTCTTGAGTAGTGGATACTTTCCCTGTCCGCACAGACCTTTCAAATTGATATGAAATAAGTTAAAACTGTATGAATTATGTATAAGACTGGAGTACCTCTGAAGTCATCCGTATCAATAGACCAGACCATTCCTCCTCCCAATCCCTTACTCTTAACAAAGTTAACTTTATCTGTGATACTCTGGACATCATCGAAACCAATCCATTGGTCTCCACTCACGGCATACGGGATCTTCTGGACGTCATCCCTAAGACCATTCCTCCTCCCAATCCCTTACTCTTAACAAAGTTAACTTTATCTGTGATACTCTGGACATCATCGAAACCAATCCATTGGTCTCCACTCACGGCATACGGGATCTTCTGGACGTCATCCCTATACACCTTATAGCCACTCTTCAACATACCACAGATCTGTTCAATTCATTATCAATTGTATTATTATTTGATACTATTTTTGTAATTTTTCGATTAGTTTTACTTCATTATAGCCTAGAGTTCCGATGAGTCTAGTGATGGGTCCGGCCGCACCACCCTTTCCAACAGCCTTAGCACCGATTCCGTGTTGATTAGGATCAGCCAAAGTGAATGTGCGTCCGTATAATGGCATTCCCAACACCTGTGTTCAATCGTAACTTACAATAAGTAACATATTTTAACTTATAAATGAAATTGAATTACAAGTTTCTTGGCATCAGCTCCTAGTTTGAGCCAATAGTCGACCGCATATTCAATAGTAAACTCTTTGTCTAATTCCACGTCTTCTTGTCTGGGATGAAGGGGTGAGTTATGAGCTGTCAATCAATTAAGACATCCAATTAGTTAATGTTATTCATTGTGTCTATAACCATATGACGGACCTGTCTTATTCTCCCACCCCCCGTGGAAGTCGTATGACATCAGATTAATGAAATCCAAGTAAGTACTCATTGATTTCACATCATAGGCCCTATCGATAGTGGGCTTTCCCGCGGACACAGCGGCCGATAATACAAAGCCGTGAGGTTTGAAAGCCTCGTGAAGTTCCTTAAGAAGTGCGATATAATTGGCTTTATCTGTGTCTTTGCCGGGCTTTCTGTCGGCGTCTCCCACTGCTTGCATACCCGGGTACTCCCTTTTGGGACAGTCATTCAATTAAGTTATTTGTGTTTAATTTAAACCAAATGTTTTTCTTTATATACCAGTCGAGGTCCAAACCGTCAAAATTCTGTACCTGCAGGAACTTGACCACAGAGTCGACAAATGTCTTCCTGGAGGCCGCATTGCTGACCATATTTGAGTACTTGTCTGACCCCTCATTCCACCCCCCAATGGATATCATAGTAGTCGCGTGTGGGTTAACCATACGTAAGTCATTCCATCGCCGATACATCCCTACGTTAATCACATCATTAAACATAAGTTGCTTTTGAATGACACGTTAATCGAGTCACACAAACCGTGTCCCCACTCGAGACCACTTTGCCAATCGGTATCTCCAGTGTCTAAATCCTTATCGAAGAGACCGATAGTGTTGTCGGGATTTAGTTTAGAGAATCCGTACATCAGATGAGTGCAGACATTAGGGTTCGTATTCTCCGCTTCAAACTGATTGTAGTATTCAATCAGATATTAGTCATCAATTGGATTGCATTCACAGAAACTTTAATGATTCACACAATGAAGTGTGACATACCTTCCCATCCCCAGGCCTATAGAATGACCATGCTCCCCAATAACACACCACTCGGTATTTCTGATCAAATCGATCTATGATTTAATTTGATCATACATTAACTATTTATTAAATTACGTTATAATTATAACTCAATTATAAAATGTAATATAATTGAGCATTTAAAAAATATAATACAGACAAACACTATTTAATTGAATTGTTTATGTCTGGAAAAAGTTTTAACACGAGTTTACCTTTTTTATTTGTCCTCTAAATTAAATGCAATAGTATTTATAAACATTTCATTTTAGGGGAAATCTATTATTATTTATTTATAAATTATTGATTGTACTTCTACATAACTAAATATGTACTTTAATTATATTTAGATAGATGTTCATACGGAATATTCTATATATAAATATTTTTCTAATATTAAATTAATTCAGTATTATAAACTTTTTATGAAAATATAATTAAAATATAAAATGACTGCATATGCCATACCTTTCCGGGCGGCTTCACTGGTGATGATGAGCCCAATTAATGGCAAACAAAGCAAAGCAAACCTCATCTCTGCGATTGTATTCTCCAAACAACGGCTCAGTTATCGCTTTGGA